CCAAAAATTTGAATTCCCCCTTTTTGAATTTCATAGCGGGCTTTTACTACGCCTTGGCCCATTTTCTCTTTCATAAAACCTTTTCACCTTGCTCTTCTGAGTACGTTTTACTGCACCCTCGCACTCATCTCATTTTTACCTTCGATCATCTTCCTCTCGTTCCCATGGCAACTTCCGTTGCATCCGTGTCTACGGCTACACCTGCGACTTCGAAGGTTTCCCCTACTCCTTCCGTTCCTTTGTTGAACTCTTTCCCACTTAAGCGAAGGGGCTAACCCATTCGTTCCTATCCCTGGCATGGAGGAAGCCAGTCTCAAAATCTTCCAATCACAGGTACTTCTCCCTTTTTCGCTCTCTGACGGATCAATGCATGCTTTTCTAGGTCCCTTTTCGAATCCAAGCAAGAAGAAGACTCATAATGATTTACTTCCGGAAGATGATTCTACCCTTCCTTTCGTCTACTCTCCAACCATCGACCTTTATCTTTTTTCGGATACCACAAAGATGTGTCGGGCTTTTCCCCCTCCCAAGGACAAACATATTCAATGGTTGGAACGTATTGAGGCTTTGAAGCAATCTATCTGGAAAGAGGCTGGAATATTCAATTTCGTTCAATTATCAAAATACGATCTGAACGTTTTCGATCCTCAGATGTTATTATCTGCTATTTTCTTTTGGAACAGGGAAACTCGTGCTTTCGAATTTCCTTGTGGTTTTGTCTGTCCCACTCTCTTGGATATCGCTGCCATCACGGGACTAAAACCCTTGGGGGACCGTTATCTTCCTGACACTCTCGAAGAAGAGATTCTAATGATTGAAACTTCGATCGTCTGGGACAAAAAGACGTATTCGGCCTTTGTCAGTGCACACCATAGCGAAGAAGGTACTCCTGTTACTGACTCTGAGCACATTGTCTTCTTGCTTTATTGGCTGTCTGCTTGTGTCTTTTGTACCCCTTCTTTGCAAGTTCCCAAGTACTACTACACACTCGCCCAGGCTTTGCATCTGAAAAAAAAAGATTTGCTTGAGTAAGTTGTTACTTGCCTCTTTTTATAACTGTCTTGATGAAGCCTCGAAAAGCTTATTTCGAGAAACTGGCCCTCGCAACTTCACAGGGCCACTTTGGCTTTTGCAACTATGGCTTAATGCCATTTTCGAGAAGAAACTGAAGCTTCTTCCTCTTCAAGCCTCCATTCGATATAATCTCGAAGGCGCTCGCTTAACTGCCTTGACTCCCAAGAAAAAATCTGTTGATTGTTTTGCCCGTTATGTCCAAGCAATTCTTTAATTCGAGGAGTTCTCGAATGACTTGGCTCCTTTCATCCGCGCTGATTTGGCAGGACCTTCCTGGTTAATTGGTAATAATCAGGTAGGACAGATTTCCCAGGAGATGGTCGAAATCTGGATGGGATTCCTATCTTGGGATCTCATTTTCACTGGGATGAAACAAAGGGAAGTAAGAGTTTATCCCTATCAGCCTCAAATCTTTGCCCGTCAATTCGGGCTTTGTCAGATTAGACCGACACCTCTTTTTCCAAAGGATAGAATTGATTCTGATGTTTGTGTAGAAGATGTTGATTATGATGGCTTTTTGAAGTTCATCCTGACGCCTTCCACCCAATTGAACCTTACCCCTTGTTTTTTTCTTCCCGCATTCTTGGTGTCCAATTGCTACCTTCGATGGTGGTGTAGTTATTACACCGACAAGATGTTCTCCTTCGAGGACTTTTCTCGGAAACTTACAAATTCTCCCTTTTCTCTGCAGGGCCCGAAGATTTCAGGTATTTATGATAATCGCAACATTATTTCCCAGTTTGAATTATATTACAGAGTCGTTATCGCCCTGAAAGTATGTTTCGAACTATCTTCGATGCTACTTTATCCCTGACTAGAATGGTACAACGGAACATCCGTCGAAATAAAGTCATTAATCCTCAAGGTCAAACTACTTTTGCAAAGTTTTGTCCTAAGGACATACCTCCTCTTCCTAATGCCCTTTTCGGCCTTGCAAAACGTCTTGATTATCCTCCTTGGGTGAAAACCCTTGATCCCTCGTATGAGGATAATAAGAACATTCCTGTTAAGGATCGAGTGACGAGTACGAGATGTTCTGTGTATGATTTTCCCAGGGATAAACAATGGCCTTTATGCTGGGTTGACAATACTATTATCTATCCTGGTAATTAAACTTTGCCTTTTCTTTTCATGTTGGCTTCTAATTTCACATCTCCACTCATTTTCCTCTTCTTCTCGTATAGTTGTTGTTGCCCAAAAAGTTCCTCAGCATCTCGAGGATACTCAACAACAGGAGACAGCTTCAGAGGATGACGAAGATAATACTTCGGTGAAGCCTCAGAAACGAAAGACCCTTTCTGACCGACTTCGGTCTCGCTCGAAGGTAATATGTTCCTTCTTCATTGCACTGAATTTATGGCCACTCCTGACTTTGCATTTTGTTCTTGTAGGAGGTTGAAGTTCCTAAGAAGAAACTTCGTTCAGACTCTCAAAGTGGGTAATCTGTAAGTTATCTTTCTGAGTGCACTTGAAATTGCTACTCAAATGCCATAATGATCTCTTTGTCCTTTTAACATTTTTCAGGTTTCCACTACTCGAAGATCCTCTCGAGACAAAGGGAAACAAAAGGCAATTTCGACTAGGTCTATCCCCAGACCTAAAGTTCCCACTGAGAAGCGTATGAAGGATGCAATGAAATCCCCTGTCCAGGTAATATGCGAATTTTCTGAACCTTCCTTACTCTTTTCTTTGATTTGATTTTATCCTCTAATGTTTTCTCCTTTTTCCAGAGAAAGGTTGATTTAGAGGCGTTTGAGTCTTCCTCTGAGAGCCCTCAAAGTGCCCCCACTTCTCCTACTGCTGCTCCATCTTCTCAAGATGTTATCGAAATTCGTGAATCGGCCTCTCCTCCTGAACGTCCCGAGGTATGTTCTGTTGCCTCTCGATTTCTCTCTTTTCTGGCCGCCCTCGAACTTGTGCATTGTTACACTATTTTTTCACAATAGGTGGTTTCTTCCAATGTTCTTACGGCCATCGTTCCTGTCACCGTGCCAACTATGGAACCTTCCCCTCCTGGTCCTGTGCAAGGTGGTGAACCTTCTTTCAATTTCGACACAGGGGTGTCTTCTGGACAAGGTAGGTAACTACTTCTTGGACATCACGGTATTCCTCCACAGAATATTTTGTCTCACTAAAATATCCCTTTCGTGCAGGTCTAGAGGTAACTTCTGAGGATAAACAAACTCCTCTTTCCAGTCAACCTGCGAGTTCGAATGATGTTGTCCCTTCCGACACTCTACTTGCTTCTATTCCTCCGGATGACATAGGCCTCATAAGCTTCTTTGATGACGAAGCTGCTCAAGACGACATTTTCAAGGTTTTGGAGAATTGGACTAGCGGGACTTCGGCTTCGGGGAAGATCCAGGAAACCGTTGCGAGCTTTCAACCGCTATTATCCTCTTTTCGTTCAAAGGCTTATGTGGATCATCTTGACCAAGCTCTCATGGACCCTCAATTCAAACTAGAGATTGAGCGGATGGTTGATGACCTAAATGCATATCCCGATCTTCCTCCGGAGGTAACCACAGAGCTGAATGAATATGTGCATACCTTTGCTGCAGCCTCCGAGTTGCATACGAAGTGGTCTACTTCGAATCAGGAGATGGTTCAGATCGAGGCTGATACGGAAGAGGATCGAACTAAATTGGAAAAGCTCAAGACTGAACTTCTTTCAATCAAGGATTCCACTTCTCAGATAGTTCCTGAACTGATAAATCTCAAGCAATCTGAGGAAGATGCGGAGTGTACCATTTCTGCCCTGCAACAAGAGCTTGATTCGATCAAGTCTAAACATGCTGCCTTGAAGCTCCAAAGCCAAGAGATTATGTTAAAGCAAAAGGGTTTTCGGGATGAAGGAAAAGGCATATCTCTTCGACTTTCAAAGTCGTTGGATCAAAAGAGAAGATTGGAGGTATTATGTGCTTCGCGGAAGCAAAGTCTCGACCAAGCCTACCAGGCATATGAAGCACTCAAATCCAAATTCTGCAAGTGATCGAACACCTGATACCTATTTATAATTTAATGTTTATCCGCTTGTACCTTTATTGCTTATCTCTTTGAACACTCTTCTCAGTACATGCTACTTTCATGGAATTTCTTCAAGTATTTTCCGTTGATCACTTTACTTGCATTTCTTGAATTTAACTCTTTGATCAAGTATGCATTGTTCGAGTAGATTCTTTCGATAATGAATGGTCCTTCCCAATTATAGGTCCACTTACCCCGATCTCGAGATTTTTGGTCCATTGGGAGGATAACTTTTAGGACTAAGTCTCCACTCAAAAATTGTTTACTCTTAACCTTTTTGTTATAAACTCGAGCTATCTTTTCTTTCTGATGAATGACATTTTGTATGGCTGTCATTCTTTCGTCATCCAGTCGAATTAGTTCATCATACATTAAATTCCAATAATCTTCGACTGGTAACTCATTTTGCCTTTGCACGTGAATGGATTGCAAATTGATATCAATAGGCAAAATTGCTTCATGACCATACACCAACTTGTATGGTGTAGTTTGAGTTGCATTCCTGGGTGAATTTCTGTAAGCCCACAATATTTGCAGCAATGTTTCATGCCAATTTCGAGGTTTCCCCGAAATATGTTTTTTGATCAAAGCTATGATCACTTTGTTAGCAGCCTCGACTTGGCCATTAGCTTGTGCATAGTAGGGTGTCGAAGTAATCATTTTGATTCCTCTCGACTGGGCATACTGGACCACTTTTCGACCTGTGAACACCGTTCCTTGATCTGTAGTTATTGTCTGGGGTATTCCGAATCGAAATATAATATGGTCTTCAATAAAATTTATCACTTCTTTCTGGTCAACCTCTTTTACAGGAATTGCTTCCACCCATTTCGTAAAATAATCGATGGCCACGATTATGTACTTATAGTTTTTTGCTGACGGAGGATGAATCTGGCCAATTACGTCAATTGCCCAACCTCGAAAAAGCCACGGTTTAACAATCGCATGCAACTCGGTTGCTGGCACTCTATGTATTGGGCCATGTTTCTGGCACTCTTCGCAACCTTTTGCAAATTCGATACAATCTTTGAACATGCTTGGCCAAAAATATCCTTTTCTGATAAAGTCCATTTCCTTTTCTCCCCCGCTTGATGGGCACCACAAATCCCTTCATGTACCTCTACCATGGCTATGTAGCTCTCATGATTTCCGAGGCACTTAAACAAAACTCTATCGAAACCTCTCTTGAACAGTTCATCATTTAATATCACATAATTGAGAGCTCGATATTTAACTTTTCTTTCAGCTTGCGAATATGGACTTTGCAGATATTCAATTAGCTCTTTCCTCCAGTCCTGAATGGTTGAGGTGTCAATGGTGAGGCATTCGTGCTCGTCACTCAAATCATTTCTTATAAAAACAAGAGATTCGAGACATTCCCTGCTTATCTTGTACCCGAATGCAATCTGAGCTAGTTCATTCGCAATTTCGTTCTCGTTATGAGAAATATGTTCTAATTGGACCTCATTGAATGAATTTAACAAAGCTGTAGCTCGAGAATTACATTCGAGTAACTTTTCATTCATGCATTTATATTCTCGAGTTAACTGTTTAATCACGAGTTGCGAGTCACCTCGAATGATTATGTTCCTTGCCCCCAAGTCCTTAAGCAATTTTAGCCCAGTAATCAATGCTTCGTATTCAGTTTCATTATTCGAGCATTCAGATTTTGTTCTCAATAAGAATTTGGTGGGAATCCCACCCGGTGAAATAATCAGTAATCCGATTCCTGCTCCTAACTCGTGTTTCGATCCATCGAAAAATAATTCCCATGATTTCGTGGTTAAATAATTAACCTGTTCATTTAAATTCGAGTGATCCACGAGAAAATCAGCGATTACTTGTCCTTTTGTGGCTTTGAGGGGAACAAACGTTAACGAATACTCGGTCAATGCAAGAGCCCATTTCCCAACTCGAGAGTGCAGGATAGGTTTAGATAACATATATTTAATCACATTATTTCGACAGAACACGAATACATCATAAGGTTTAATATAATGCTTCAGCTTTGTACAAGCATAATACAAACTCAGACATAACTTCTCCAAAGGAGTGTATCTGATTTCTGCCTCGACTAACATCCTACTGATGTAATAAATGGCTCTCTCGATGCCATTTTTGTCATCTTGCGACAGCATGCCCGCAATAGTCGAATCATTGGCCGAGACATACAATTTTAGCTTTCCTCCTTCAGAGGGTGGCACCATCACTGGAGGGTTGATCAAATAATTCTTGATCTCCTCGAATGCCTTTTGATGATTTTCGTCCCATCGAAATTCTTCCTCCTTTTTCAATCGTAACAAAGGGGAAAACACCTTAGTCTTTCCTGATAAATTCGAAATAAATCTTCGAAGGAAATTTATCTTACCTAACAAAGACTGCAACTCCTTCTTATTCGAAGGAGGCTTAGTTTCCATGATGGCTCGAGTCTTGTTCTTATCTATTTCAATGCCTTTCTGGTGTACGACGAACCCTAGGAAATCCCCCGCTGAAACACCGAAAGCACATTTCAATGGATTCATTTTCAGCCCATGTTTCCTCATTCTCTCGAAAGACAATTTCAGGTGTTGTATGTTATCTATTTTTCGTTTCGATCCAATCACTTTGTCATCAATATAAACCTGCATGAATTTTTCGATCAAGTCATGAAAAATTAAGTTTATTGCTCTTTGATATGTTGCACTAGCATTTTTCAAGCCAAAAGGCATTACTACCCATTCGTAAGTTCCCAAGGCACCTGGGCACCTAAAGGCAGTTTTTGACACATCATTTTTAGCAATATAAATTTGGTTGTACCTGTAACAGCCCATTTTTCGTGGGCCAAAGGCCCAATTCTTGGCCCGAAACGGGCCGTTTCAAAATTGAAACGAGCCGTTCTGGAATAGTTAGAATGCCCAAAATGTATAAGTAGAATGGGCCGTTCCAATTAGAGAACGGGCCATTCTGATTTGGAGAACAGGTCGTTCTAGAAGCAAAACGGGCCGTTCTGCTGGGTTTGAGAACGGGCCGTTCTAATTTTAGAACGGGCCGTTCCAGTTGAGAAATTTATGTAGGTTTGAAAGGCCCAGAACGGGCCGTTCCGCTTTTAGAACGGGCCGTAGTGGTAGGTGAGCCAGAATTCCTATAAATAGGGGGCTTCACTTCTCATTTTTCACACACCTCTCATTCTCATTCTTTCTTCTCTTCTGTTCTCTCTTCTTTCCCTCTTCTTCTTTCTGAAGACCAAGAGGAATCTAGAGGAGGAGGTTCT